CTGAGAGAGAGAATCCGGTGAGAGCAGGCTTCTGACGAGTTTGTTCGTGTCATGAATGCCAAGGTTCGCGCCGGAGGCGTCGAGGGTTTTCAGCTAGGTGCCGATGGTGCCCTAGAGTTCAGAGGCAGGATCGTAGTCCCGAAAGTTGAGGCGTTGCGGAAGGAGATTTTATCAGAGGCTCATACCGCACCCTATCTAGCCCATCCCGGGAGCACGAAGATGTATCATGACCTGAAAGGGTCTTTCTGGTGGCGAGGTATGAAGAAGGATGTCGCCAAATTCGTCAGGAGATGTTTTACCTGTAAACAAGTTAAAGCCGAACATCAGAGTCCGATAGGCCTCCTGCAGCCACTGCCGATTCCAAGGTGGAAGTGGGAGGAAGTCACGATGGATTTCGTTACGGGATTACCGAGGTCGTCTGAACATCACGACGCTATCTGGGTCGTGGTCGACAGATTGACTAAGGTCGCTCATTTCTTACCCGTTTCGATGAAGATGTCTTTGGATAAGTTGGCTGAGATATATACCCGTGGGATCATCCGAATCCACGGAGTTCCCGTTACTATTGTATCAAACAGAGACCCCAGATTCGTTAGTCGATTCTGGCACAGTTTACACAAAGCGATGGCACGAAGTTAGAGTTCAGTTCAGCCTACCAATTAGAGACAGACGGTCAGTCAGAGCGGACCATTCAGACGCTTGAGGATATGCTTCGCGCTTTGGTTGTTGACAGGGGTGCTAAGTGGGAGTCGTTGTTGCCGTATGCCGAGTTCGCGTACAACAACAGCTATCATTCTTCTATTCAGATGGCTCCTTACGAGGCACTTTACGGTCGCAAGTGTCGTTCCCCTCTTTATTGGGACGACGTCGGAGAGCGACGAGTACTCGGTCCGAAGTTGATCGAGGAGACAACAGATCAGGTCGAGTTGATCCGGCAGAGACTCAAAACAGCTAAGAGTCGACAAAAATCTTCAGCCGATCATCATCGACGAGACATTCAGTTCGAGGTTGGCGAGCCAGATTTTCTCAGAGTTCGTCCGATTCACGGAGTCGTTAGATTCGGAAAGAGAGGGAAGTTGCACCCTCGATTCATTGGCCCGTTCGAGGTTCTCGAGCGAGTAGGCGAAGTCGCGTATCGATTAGCCCTACCTCCCGAGTTATCAGGCATTCATAATGTATTTCACGCATCTATGTTGCGTAAGTACGTGTGCGACGCCGATCATGTTATTCCTCATTCAGATATTCAGATTCAGTCAGATCTTTCGTACGAGGAGCGACCGGTAGTTGTACTAGACCGCCAGGTTTGTCGGCTCCGGAAGCGAGATGTTCCCCTCGTGCGTATTCAGTGGGATCGCCACGGAGCTACTTGGGAGGTAGAGTCCGATATTCGCGCTCGTTTTCCAGATTTTCAGTTTTGATGTACATACTTTCTTGTTGCATGTACATAGTTCATGTATATTCAGTTATGTTTTGAATTTCCGAGGATGGAAATTTGTAAGGAGGGAGGATATCCCGTCAGTTTATCAGTATAAATCATGTTTTTAGTTCCGATATATTCATATCGTCGAGTATTAATTTTCGGAATTAAATTATTTCAGTCATTTCAGTCGAGATTACCGGAAATTATTTTCAACGTTTCGTTTACGTTCGGAATAATTTTGGTAATTAAGCATTATATTTAATTAAATAATTAAACATGATTAAGTGGTTAATTAGTAATTAATCACAAGATTAAGCCCAAAACCGTGCGGAATTTTTCCTAAACCAATTTAATTGCCGTGGTCAATTTCATGAGTAAGGAAATTATTTTCCTCATTTGTAAACACCTCTACGTGGCATTATCTAAGATAATAAGGTGATTAGTCACCTAAGAATGCTTTATGTTGCCACAAGTGTCATTAGCAAAATTCTCCACCTCCTAAACCATTCGGCCATCATTATATATATATGTATAAGTTGGAGATTTTGGGCTTCACTTTCTCCTTATATTCAGCATATAGATATCTTATATATTAGAGAGTTGGGTGAATTTAGTGAGGAATTCTTGAGTGTTTCATGTACGGCAAGTAGCAGCAGCCGCACGGCAAGGCAACGTACGGATAGTAGCTACCGTAGCATCGCACGCAAGTTAAGACTACACACAGTCACGGCGAATACTTCACGTATTTAACTCGATCAAGGGAGCAGCAGAAGAGGTATAACGCTGGATACCTCTTGATTGTATATGTATTAGTGTTATGCAAATCAATTGTCATGTTGGTCGTGAGTCATGTTCGCCGTGTGTAGTTGGTGTCAAGTCATGTTATGTTTTAAGTCGAATTCCCCGAACAACCTTCGCATGTTTAATCAATTTATGTGAAATCATGATCAGTCAGTTTAGATTGCTCGGAGTGTGTTCATGTTTAT